CATGTTGTTTGTTTCTTTTTCATTGCATTGTGTTTAAACTCTGTTTGTTTGGTTTTAAACTTTTAATTAAAGCAGTTTTCTACCAAAAAAAGTTGCAACACTACTGAGAAGGAAGTGGCCGCATTAGGACTGAAGATTATCTTACTAGTAAATTGATACCAGCAAGGTTCAAAATTTCATCATGTATCAGCCCCTATTGGCCCATATGCATCGTATTGGTGGGTCACTGATACGCCAAATATGCAAGCTTTGGTGTTTGCTTTGGTGTTTTGACATGTTTCAGGGAGTAGAGAAGCCTTGAACCAACCCCTCTGAACAGGTAACAGGTTTTGAAAAAAATAAATAAAAAAAGGGGGTTGAACCAAAACACCCGATATGCCCCATCCAGCATATCAGTGTGTATCGATATTTGGAACCTTGGATACCAGTAGGAGAGGTGTCCAATGTTGTTGAATTAACTGCTACATTGGGTTGTAGATGTGGTTTAACAATTTGTTTTGATCATTAAATGTTAAAATTTTCATTAATTGAGAGGCAAAATAAAACATTTGCAAATCAGATTCCATCTAGGTTATTTTTTTCTTTTAGTAATGAATTCTATTGTTACTATCAAAAACGGTTCCATCAAGGCAGGTAGCCTCAGCTAACCACCATTTATATTGTCAATTACAAGCCCCCCCCTCCTAAATATTGTAGCGGATTGCTTAAAATATCATATCACCCCCTGGCCATTGACCTATCTGGGGCTTCCTCTAGGGGCTAACCCTAAGGAAAGCAAAATTTGGAACCCAATTGTAGAAAGATGTGAAAAGAGATTGTCGCCTAGAAGAGGAATTACATCCCTTTAGGAGGGAGGATTACCCTAATAAGATCAACTTTGGCTAACCTACCTATCTATTTCCTCTCTGTTTTTAGGATTCTTGGAAGGGAAGAAAAGAAATTAGAAAAAATTATGAGGGGTTTCTTTTGGAAGCCGGGAGAGACTAGAAAAGACCACTTAATCAACTGGGAGATTGTGTGTAAAAGTAAGGAAGAGGGTGGGTTAGGTCTTGGGAATGTGATAAAGAAAAATACAGCTCTCTTAGAAAAATGGTTACAGAGATGACCTTTAAAAAAGGAAAACTTGTGGTTTGAGGTAGTGGATAGCATTCATGGGAGAATGGAGAGTGGTTGGGATGTTGGTGTATCACATTGGGCTACCTTGGTAGCACCTGCCACCTTGGAAAGCAATCCACAATTTTCTTCCTCAATTCCTCAGGTTTATCAGGTACGATATTTGCTCAGGGAACTTAAATTGTTTTTGGGAAGACACTTGGTTTGGTGATTGACCTTTAAAGGACTTGTTTCCCTCCTTGTATTCCATTTCCTTGTACAAAACTGAGGTGACCTCGAGTTTTCTACTCCATCCTATTTTACCTATGAGTCACAATTGGGATTTTGGGTTTCAAAGGGGTTGAGGGATGAAGAAGATACTTGTTTGTCAGAGCTTCTCCTTCTTCTTGATTAAGTCTTACTAGAACCTTCTAAACCAGATAAAAGAGTTTGGTGCCCAAACCCTAAAGGCTTATTTTCTTGTGCCTCTTTTTTTAAAGCTCTTTGCTAATCCCCTTCCTCTCAATCTTTTCCTTAGAAGGAAGTTTGGTTTCGATTGGTTCCCCCTTAATTAAGGTTTTTTTTCTTGGGAAGATATACATGGGAAAATTAGCACTTTTGATTACTTTTTTTTGATAGATAACACTTTGGATTACTTGCAAAAGAAGAGGTCTTTTTTGTGTATTTCCCCAAATTGGTGTACTCTTTGTAAATCAAATGGTGAATCTTGTTACCACTTACCAGCTTCCTATTCATTTGTTGCAGAAATTTCGGATTGGTCATTGGTTTTTCTCTTTGTTTAGGCGCAAGTTGAATATGTCAATGGAGATTAAGATGTTGTTTGATCCATCTACCTTTGCTTGGCCGAAGAGAAGGGGAAGAATAACGTGGAGAGCAGTAGTGGTTTGGACATTATGGGAAGAAAAAAATGCCAAAATCTTCCAAGAGAAGGAGAGAAGAAAACAACAAATTATGGATTGTGTAATGACCAGGATACACTAGCTATAAACTATGGAATTGTTCAGACATTTCTCCTCTGATGATATTTGTAGAAATTGGTTTTCAGTGGCTTCTAGTTCAGTGCAGAAGACTAAAACACTGTTGGTTTGGATACCTCCCATTGAAGGCTTTATGAAACTAAACTTTGATTGGAGAAGTCAGGGCAACTCAGGCCTTTCTGGAATTGGAGGAGCCATAAGAGACAAGGATGGAAATTTAAGAGCAATCTATTCAGGACCAATGGGGAATGGAGACTCCTTAAGGGCTGAACTGTATGCAGCCCTACAAAGTGTACAGATTGCAAGAGAGATAGGTTTGGAGAATTTGGTGATAAAAGGGGACTCCAAGGTGGTGGTGGGCTGGCTTAGAGATCCAGACTCAATGATATGGTATTATAGAAATGAAATGAAGAAATTCAAATGGGTAACACAACATATGAATTTGACTATACAATGGGTGGGAAGGGAGGCTAATGCATTTGATGACCATTTAGCTAAGTAAGGAGTAACTAGGGATCAGTTGTATTGGGCCCATTTGTAATTTTTATGCTGCTTTTTTTCTTTTAAAGAGTGAGGCTGCACCTTGCGCCTCCCCTTGGGATGCTTGTAACAGACAATTAACTTTTTTGCTTCTAATGAAATATTAATGAACTTTTACCTATCAAAAAAATACCCCAAAACATCTGATCGCTTGCAACCCCTGCTTTTCTGTCTCATCTGCTATGCCATTAACAGATGGAGGTACCGGCTTGATACTTGTTCTCAGCTCTTCAATAAATCTTTGACCTCCCTCCCTTAACATATGTAATATACTTCGAAGAGCCCTCCTTCCTAACCACCCTGTTACTTCCTTCAAAATTTTTGAGACTTCTATACTTTTTTGAGGGAGAGGAGTTTGCTAGAAAAGGTGTTTATAGAGTTAGAAGAAAGAGAAAGAATCCAATATTCTAATAATAATTTTGAGGATGGTGTTGGTGGTCCTGTTGAAAATGATACTTATGTATTGGATGCTGAAGGTGAAAAGGTTTTATGTAAATAGTTTCCTTGGGAGAGATTCTGATTAATTTTTTCAGTGGAAGGTGGAGGATAGTCAATGTAGATGGATGTAGAGGATGGGGGAGGGTGAATGGTATTGTAAAAATTAAAAATGTTATTGGGAAGGAGGGATCCGTAGGATATTTAGATAGGTGAGAGTGTGGGTTTGCAGTATTTTCTGTGTTTTTTGAGTTTAGGTTCTTTGTTGACAAGTGGAGTTTGTCTTTGTTATATCAAGTTAAATGGATCATATACTTCTTGTATACTTTCTCTTCTCTTCTTTTCCCTTTTTAATAAATTTCTTCAATTTAGGATCCTGTAATTGCAAGATTTGTGCAGGAGCTGGCAGACCAGAAGAAGGCATATTTTACATATGGAGGCAAACTCTCTCTAGTCAAGATTTTTTTTATATTTTGATAGATAACTTTAAGATTTTATTAATAGTGTAAAAAGAAGTATGCAAAGTATGCCCAGAACTCCATTTACAACTAGGCCGGCCTCAGCCCCTTAACCTTAACCCCAAATCTTGGCTTTTACATTCATTCAACATTAGTCCTCTCAAGAATAATTTTTATCTATTTAGTATTTACTTTTTGTTTTGTTAGAGTGCCATCCAACCCATTGGCTGATCTTTGCACCCAAGTATATGTGATATTTATCTCCCTCATGAAACACTTGATTTCCCTTAACATCTTCCTGTACTGCCAATGTTCTTGTCCTTTCCTGGTAGCCAGCTCACTACCACTCCAGAGTCTCCTTCCACTTGCATACAGCTGTAATTCAATGATCTGACTGCAAGTAGTTCAGCCTATACCTTTTTTTATTGGAAGTTCAGCCTTAATACATTTTCTATAATTGTAGCACATTTGTCCCTAAAATCTCACCCAATACCTGACAAACCTGGACCGCTCAATGTGCACCCATCAAAATTTAACTTGTTTTGGTTGTTTCAGGGTGGGTGCCATGGAATCATAGTTATGGTCCTAACTGTATAGTCAAGGACTCAAGAGTGCAATGTCAAATATGTCTATTTATTATTTGCCATCCATCTCTACTTTCCATCCATTTCAGTCATAGTAGCAACTAAGCTCGAAATGGAAAGCAATTTCCTAAGGATGGTTGCAATGATGAAAAGAAGTGCCATTTGGTAGCTTGCCTCAAGTATGCACATCAAAGGAGAATGGTGGGGTGGGATCATGATTTTTTCACCTCATGGACAGAGAACTACAAGGCAAATGGTTGTGGCAATTTGGAAAAGAGAAAACCAATATTTCAAGAACCATAATTAGAAGCAAATATGAGAGGATTGCACATGACTGGGAATTTTAACCATTCCGCTCATCATTGGCAGGACTGAGAGAATGCTGATGAGATGGCTTCTAATCTTAATGACTTTAAAAGGCTTCTTGCACATTTGCTATTGAGAAGATATTCTCTTCAACTCCTTTCCTTTCTAATATATAGAGGGAAAGGGTATACAATATAGAGATATTTGCATCTGTGACGTCCTTTTTTCTATGTTGGGGCTTGCCTCTTTCCCTATAGTTACATAATATACTATCTCACCATTCATCACAGAGAAAAAATAACAAAAATAAGGAAAGAATATCGACCCCAATAACCAAACTTTATGGTGCTAATTGGCACAGGAAAATCTACAGTTCATAGCATAGATGTCTGTTAATTTTCACCTTACGTCTCAATCAGAATTAGCTACAGATTATCCACATTAGCTCATGTTTAGTACTAAAGAATGACCAGCATTATATACAAACCAACGCGGTCTTCAAAGATGAAAGGAATATAGGCTGGAACTTCTTTTCAAACATCTAACACCAAAAGTACAGAAAGAAATCTGTCGAGAATCAAACTTACTTGAGAATTCGAAGATCTGCAATGGAGCGGGGCAATTTAATCTTGCCATAATCGGCTGCCGGCATGGTCAAATAGACACAAAACAGACCGGTAGAGAAAAGCAAAAACACACTCGCTGCCGCAGCCAGCTCCCAATGCGACAACGGAAACCTCTCCAATTTCGCGCCGATCGGTTTCTTACTCGTCGGAGAATCCTCTTTCGCATTCTCCACATCCCTCAGCCTTCCAACATCGACAACCAAACTCCTCGGAGCTGCCATCGTAAGAATATTTAGACTGTAACAGGAGGTCCACGACGTGTCACCCTTCATTATACGCATTGACCACCATCAATGGCATGGAGTCAACTGAAACCACCCCTCCACCGACTAACCCAGATCCCCAAACCCAAACCCCTGTCTTGCTATATAGTCCTCTCGAAACAACTGGCACAACGCACATCAGAACTTAGCTCCAAAAGAAGAAAAAAGAAAACCCTAATCAAATTCAAGTCACTAGATCCGATCCAGACCGCCAAAACTCGAAAGGTGAACTATCTTCCTCGAAGAAATATCTCCCAATTGCATATAACAAAATAAAGAAACTAATTTTTGATCGTGAAACCTTTTTTTTTCCCTTCAGAAAGGCTTCAATCCCTGTGGGCAAAACAGAATTTGATTGGAGTTGAATAGAAATGAAACTTCTAAGAGACCGAGCGAATAAGAGAGAGAGAAAGGGGCGGGAAGGATGAGCGTGTGGAGAGTCAAGACCCAAGACCCAAGACCCAAATATTATACACGTTATGTCCAGAGGCTGACATAAAAACGGCCTGAATTTCTGCCACTGCGGATTATTAATTTATTTCCATTTTATTTACAAATAAATTCGCACCAGTCCCAACTATTTTCTTTTGCATTGACCTGGTTTGTTTGGAATGTAATTCCATTTGTATTGGGGCAAAAATATGAAAGTGCAAATGTCCTTTTTGTTTTTTTAGTAGAAAAGTGCAAATAATTTGAATGATTTATTTTGACCTAGTACAATAATTTGTTTGATTATAAAATAAAATAGATAAAATTATAAAAATTTTTCCTTGGGTTTGTAGTTTCTACACTCTTATAAGCCTAGTGTCCTGGCTTTTGAACCTCACAAAAACCTTCTCTATAAATAGGTGCAAATATCTCCCTTTCTTAGCTTTTCAACAATGAAGATGTTAAAATCACCAAAATGCCCTTATTAACAATAAAAGTATTATTGTATACAATTTGAAATTTCAATTTTAGCCTCCGCTACTTTACTTTGTTGGACAACTTTTAAAAAAGTAATTCTCTCTAAGTAAGGCTTAGTTTATAAAGAGTACAAAGACAAATATGTACGGTATAAGTACATACAAAATACAAAATATGAGGTTTTGCATATTTGTACTCCTTTCAAACTGAGCCTAAGATAAAAATGCTGAAGTGAATAAAGAGAAGTGAATCTGTTTCTAGGGTCTTTTAGTAAATACACATATGAATGAATTTGGTCATCAGTCTAGTATTTTAAAAACTTTAAATGCATTACATTTTCATTTTCCATTTAGAAAGTAAATGGAAGAGAGAGATATTTGCACCTTGTTTTTTCAAAACCATAGGTGAGGTTTAAGTTAGAGTCAAAACACAGGAGAGGTTTATAGGATTGTCAAAAATAGGAAAAGAAAAAACAATAGGGAGGCTTTTATAATTTTTTTTTAATAAAATAAAGTAAAATCCAAGTAAAAATAAGCTAAATTTTGTATTCTTTTGATTGGTACTAAAGTTTAGTTTGGGAAGAGTATAAATATAAATTTGTAGAGTGCAAAACCTTATACTTTGTATTATTTTGTATATATTTGTATTTGCACCCATTTCCAATTGAGCCTAGGCTGTGTTTGGTTGCAATGCAGACACAAATATGTACATTGCATATTTACCCTTTCTTCGGTTCATGAATGCAAACACAGTTTACATTTTAAACCGTTTTTGCACTCGTCTTATTTGTTTGGAATCAGTGCAAAGTATGGGCCCTTCATTAAATGCTCCAACACCTTAACTTTGGTCAAAAAAGTTAATTATCAAAAGAATACAAAATTATATCCAAAAAATAGATACAATAATACTCTCTTCTAAGAGTACAAAAGTGTCAGAAAATACATTTTTAGTCTAATAATTATTACTTTTTTACATATCAAATAAACACGAACCAGGGAACATAAATACCCCTACTTGGCATTTTGTATTGCAAACAATACAAAAACTAATAACAAAAAAACCAATATAAACGAGTGAACCGGTGCAAATTAAATTGGGCTGGGTAGGTATAGTGCAATTTTGCACTGTATCAAATAGGATGATTCATCCTCACTGCATCAAGATCAAATCCTATGTTTTCACCAAACCCTCTCTCGTACCAAAATAAAAATAATAATAATAATAATAATTCTTCGACCCCAATAACATCATTACCCATCAAAGAGTCAAAAGTATTCTTTATATTTTCCATTGATTTTTCTGATGTGGCTTTGGCTCCATAGGTCTACAGGACTTTGGGGTAGGGACAGTGAAAGGTGAATATGGGGCCCAATGGTCATCCATGTCACAAAGAGCTACAGTTTTCATAGGTCGCTCTTGCACTTCTTTAGTTCCATTTTGGGAGTAATATCTGAGGCCCACTAGTCTTGTATTGCCATTGAGGCCCACCAAAATACCAAGTTCAAGCTTTAAAAATAAGAAATGGCAGACAGCCCCTGTGCTTGTTCACATGACTAATCAGTGATATTATCACATACATCTGTGCCAAATCATCAATGCCACAATGTATGATTCATGAATAAACTCGGATGGGCTCCCCCACGTATCGCTGCCACTGGAGATGTTCCCATTTCACGGGAGGGATGGACTGTGGGGCGTGCTCTGTGGGGGATCTAATCCCGTCTCGGGATCAGCTGCTAGCAAAAGCATATTAGCACGCTTTTGATGGAACAATTCAGCCGTGCACCAGAAACATATATTTTATTTGTCATTAAAGGGGAGATGTTTTCTCTATATATAATTAAATTGCTTTGTTAGGGATGTCAATGGGTCGGGTTAAATAGTAAATCTGACTCTATAGGATTGGGTTAGGATCAATATATTTGGCTTTAGGGACTGGGAAAATTTCCACCACTACCCCAAACATAATGGTAAATTAGTAAAATACTACTATGTTTAATATTAATTTTTAAAATATCCCTAAGCTTCTCCCAAATTCCTAAAAACCTAGGATCCCATAATTCTATTTCTAAAATACTCCCAAGTTTCCATATCCAATTCCTAAAATACGTCTAAATCCCTGTAATCCTATTTCTAAAATACATCTAAACCCAACCAGGTTTGTTTCGCAATAAAGAGAAACTGTGTAGGATTTTTGACAATTATCTTCTTTCTCCAAGTGTAGGGTTCTTGCATAGACTAAAGGATAGAAAAAGATCATGGCATAGAATAAGACCACAAGATAGAGAGAAGTAGTTTTTCTTGATAGAATGAAGGCGGAAAAACTTGGTGAAAGTGGGGTTCATTACAGTCTTTCGTTATAGAGTGAAAGAGGGGAGATGGAGAGACACTATGAGAGAAGAGGAAATTTGATGTAGAAGGATATTTTTGCGGTAAGCCTAAGGGTGATAATGAATCAGACCTGGTTTGGGTTTTGGACCTATAATAAGGGCTATGGCTTAAGGTTGGATCAGGTTCAAGCTTGAAACATAAGACCGGGCCGATTTTTCTCTATGTGTGTGTATATCTATACTACTTTAAAAGCACGAATGACCTCAAGAATATTTCTAGAATTTTCTAAGGACAAAATTTACCCCTCTACATTTAAATTTATTGATAAAAATGAGGGCAAATATGGTAATTGATTATTGCTATTTCAGTGCATTCAATTCCCTCTCGTTAAATCAAACATTTAAGTTATTAACTTGCATTCATGTTAATTGAATCATATATTTAAGCCATTTTTGTTTCTTATCATCATGAAGTTCTATTTATTAAATCCATACTTAATAAATTAATAATTTCAATAACATAAAAGTTTATACTTTTAAAATCTACCTAGAAAAAATAGTGTTTTTGCCTAGGTGGTGGTAAGAAATTAAACCATTTTGGGCCAAAAGGGTTAATCCTTGTTGCCACAATTAAATAAATAAATTAAAAAATAGATAAAATTAAAAAAATTTTGGAACATTTTTTACACACATATTAAACAATAATAATTATGCATGATAAATAAGAAATGTTTTTACTAATAATAGAAATGGAATGTTGTTGCCATGATTAAATAATAACATTCAAAAATAGACAAAATGGAAAAATAGAAATTAAAAAATTGGAAACATTTTTAAAATACATATTAAACAATAATAAGTATGAAAAATAAGAAATGTTTTTATTAATGATGGAAATGGAATGTAAAATTTAAAACCAACTGGAAATAAAAATATTTCCTTATTCTCTCTCATTAAAACCTATATTTAAAATTTGTTATTCACATCATTAAATTCTTGCAATTAAATCAACAATATTATTTTTAATAGTATAAAATAAATATTTTGAAAGCAAAACCATTTTCTTTCCTCCCGGTGGTGGGCAAGCAATTCGACCATTAAATAATAAAAAATAAAATAAAATAAAATAAGTATGAAATGTGAGAAGTACTTTTATTAATGATGAAAATGGAATGTCAAATTTAAAATCTACATAGAAATGAAATGGTGTCATAATCAAATAATAAAATTTTTAAAACTAGAAAATACAAAGAATCCCAAAAAAAAAAGATAGAGAAAATTGTGGGCACATATCTAATGTTATATATTTAAAAAATAATAAAATATTGGGTACATCTCAAATAATATGCATTCATTATATTGAACAAAAATAAGTACTATACATAAGAAATATTTTTATCAATGATGGAAATGTAATATAAAATGTAACGTCAACCTAGAAGTAAAACTATTTTTCTTTTTGAGTGGTGGATTAGTGGTTTGGGTCAAATGATATCATAGACAAACAAAAATTAAGTAAAAATTAAAAATTATTTTATATAATGTAAATAAAATATACAATTTAAAGGGAAAATTATAGTCAAAGCCAGTTGTACATTTAAAATTAGGTTGCAAGGTGGTCTAGAAACCAATAAAACTCTGACAACTGGCTCTACGTTTCAAATTATAAAAACCCTTGCCATTCATTGAATGCTTATGTGGCTATTGTCAACATGGGACTCTTAATCCATGTTGGACACAACAAAAAGCTTATACTGAAAATAAGTTTTTAGTTTCTCTCCCACTCCCTTTGTCTCTTGACCTCCCTCCCTTCTCTCTCACTCTCAGTCATCTCTCCATCTCCCACTCTCTCAGCTTTGGTTTGTAGCTAAATCAAAACCTCTCTCTTTCTCTCTCAATCTATCATTCTCCTTTAGTCTTTCTCTCGTTTTCTCTTTTGTTATTTTTTATTTATTTTCCTTACAAACTTATACAATATTAATCAGACCGTATAAAAGAACTAAAGGGACCAACCATTTGTACAATCAAATTATAAATTTCTACCAAATTGATGTAAATTTCATAACCAAGAGTTCTTATGATTTTTTACCAAATTGGTGTAATGATTTTTGAATTATAACAAGCTGGTCTCATGTTCTTTTATATGATCTAATTAATACCATATAAGTGTATGAGAAAAATAAAAAAGAAAAACAAGAAAGAAAGTAGGAGAGAAAGATAATGGAAGAGATTGGAGGAA